ACCCAAAAAGCAAATAAAATAAAATAAAATAAAAATAAAAACACATTAGAGGCACTAGACAGTAACTCAAAGTCATAGGAATGAATTTAGAACACCAATAATGGGTGGAAATGCAGAAGATTGTTTCGATTGAGGATAAAACACATTGCACAAAACCCAACACTATTTTATAAGACACAATAAAACAGAAATAGAGGGGAGCTTGTTAATTTCTCCAGAGAACATACAAAAATTACTATTGAACCTTATAAATAAGTTTAACATAATTATTTGTTAGAGACATGTAAATCAAAACCACACTCCAATACTTCATACCCATGAAGATGGCTAGAGTCAAGAAACATGTTGGGCTGGAAAGCTAGTACAGAGTAAAGCTCTAGTCTTGCACACAGCTGACCTATGTTCTATCCCTGGCACTTCATATGGTCTCCCAACCTCCACCATGTGTGATCCCTGAATAGAGTCAGGAGTAAATCTTAAGTATATCTGACTGTAGCCCCCAAACAAAAGAAAACAACAACCTAGAATTTTAATTGAAATTGCATTGTTTATATTACTATCTGAAGACATTTCATATTTATATATCAGATTATAGTTAGTTTTGCAATGAGAAAAATTAAGAGCTATCTTTTACTAACTTTTAGTTTAGAATATAATATTATTTACTATAACATCTATATTGTATATTAAGTTTCCAGGATTTAATTATATAGTTTGAAAATTGGTACCCTTAAAAGACATCTCCCTCATTTCCTCACTACCCATCCACTAGAAAACACCATTCTACTCACTTTCTGCTTTTGTGAATCTTACTTTTTTAAGATCCCATAAGTAAAATCAAACAGTATTTGTCTTTGTTTGATTTATTTCTCTTAGCATTAATGTAGTTAAAGTTTCATTCATACTCATCTATAGGGCAAACTTGTCTTCTTTTTCACAGATGAACAATGAGAAAGAGAGAGAGACAGAGAGATCTGTATTTACTATAGTTATCAATCGATGTGTCTATATTCTTTTAGTTTTGGGATCACACAGGATTACTTTTGGCTCGGACTCAGGAATTACTCCAGGAATAGTGATCCCTGTGCTCAGGGACCACTCCCTGCAGTGCTTAGGATACTATATGTGGTATCAGGAATCAAACCTGGGTCAGCCATTTGCAAAGCAAGCACCCTATCTGATGCACTATCTCTCTGGCCCTATATTCTATGATATTTGGGTTTTTTGTTTTCATATTGGCTCTATCTTGTATTAATACAACTTGAATTAAATTTATTCTAAATATTTAAAACAGTTTTCACTATGATATGGAATATACTATAACATTTTATCAAGTTATTGCTAGGATAAAGGTCTTTTTAAATGTTTGACTTGTATTTACCTATCTTGCTGCAATAGTTCATTAATTCTAACAATTTTTCCTATACTTTCTTAGACTTTCAACACATTTCTCCTCCGATAATTGAATTGATTGTGTTATTGTCTTCCTCTACTTGGTGGGACCTCAAATGCAATATCAGTTATCATATGATAACTGATGATTATCAGTTACCTGATGATCAAACAGGGCCTCCCCGTCTTGTTCCTCAATTTAGTTAAATAGTTTCAGAGTGTCATCATTTTGATTCATATTTTTACTTGTCTAACTTGTTAGTACATTCAGCACTGTGTGCAAGAGCATAATGAAATGTTTGCTTCGTACTGGTTTTGAGAGACATAGTTAAAATATTTGCTATGGTGTTTGCTGGAAAGGTTTTGGTTTTAGATTTCCAGCTACAACTAGCAGTGTAATGTACAACTGGCTATTCCCAGTTGCATGCTGGGGGAGCATGTGGTGGCCGGGGTTAAAGCAAGGTCTTCTGCAAGCAAAGCATGCACTGTAGTCTGTTGAAGTATCTCTCTGGTCCAGGCTGAAAATGTCCGACGATAACTTTCTATCAAGTTATGAAATTTAATGGATCAATTTCATCATTCAACAAGTAATTATCAAATATTTACTAAGTTTCAGGTACTATTTCAGATACTTGGGGCACATCAGAGAATGCAATGGACAAGAAACTCCCTGCCCTAGTAGAGCTCACATTCAAGTTGAGACAGACAGTAAATAAGCTAGGAAAAAAGCAAAATACAAACTATTTTAGAGTATAATAAATATTTAGGAAAAAATAAGGCAAGACAGGAAAGTATGGTAGGGATAGGGTAGAGATTGTGATGCAAGATGGGGTGACAAAAGAAAGGCCGAACTTAGAAGATATCAGGAAAAAATACCTGAGAAGAAAGCCTGAAAGAAGAGGGAGGGAAAATCTGGAACAATCTGAGGGAAAGTACTCCATCTAAGGGCGGACTGAGATAAAAGGGCCCAGGGAGAGAGTTTGTCAGGGCAAGTTTGTCAAGGCAAGTTTGTCAAGGAAGAAAGGCGAGGTGATCAGAGTGATGAGTGATGAAGGCAGAAAAATGAGGACAGAGAGGTAAGATAGAGTGTGAACTATAAATCTCTGGGTTAACTAAAATGAGTATCATCACTGGATGAGGAGAGGAAGAAACTTTTATTTTCCACAGTTTAAGTTGAAGATTCCCCAGAGGAAAAAAGCCAACACACAGAATGTTCTTATTAGCTGCTTTCCTACTTCACCTAGGATGGGTTCCAACATTTGTGCAGTTGGGGCACCGAAAAACTATTCTCAGTACAGGAAAATTTCCACTAAAGTTAAATCATTTGTTTCTGACAGACATATATATATATGGCAATTCCTAATATCCTGACTGAAAAATAAAATGCATTTTTGAAATTGAAAATGAAGAAATCTGAGGCAGAAACCATCCATCCTAGGTGAAAAGGATGCAGATTAAGACAGAACTCATCCTAAATTTGGGGTTAGATGGACACTTGACTTTAATCTATTCTGCCCAGCCTGCTCTCTTCATACAGTCACTGCCAGGAGCTAGCATATATGGGCTGGGACCACAAAGGAAAAGGTTTCTTCTCTTTATGGCTGATTCAGAAAACCTTGCAACTTCACGTTTTCTGCATCCAGTTTTGTTCTACGGCTCTGAGGATTTACACTCTCAGTGTAAACGAGTTTGGGACGATCACAATCACGATCATCCTGTTGTTCATCGATTTCCTCGAGCAGGCACCAGTAACGTCTCCTTCTTCCTAGCGCTGAGATTTTAAAAGAGCCATTTCAATGCTCTTTCAGCATTAGGAGAATGAGACCCATCATTGTTACTGGTATTTGGCATATTGAGTATGACACGGGAAGTTTGCCAGACTCTGCCGTGCGGGCAGGATACTTTTGGTAGCCTGCCAGGTTCTCCAAAGGAAAAATAAGTTAATAAGATGTCGCGCAGCCGCGAATGTGGCCGCACTTCCAGGAGCTGGGTTTTATAGTCTCTGCGTCTTGGCCGTTGATGGGATCAACCTGGCGCTGGCGGCAGCTGGCGGGTGTGACGCCTACCTACTGGAAGATATGGGGTCTGGTTGGAGAAGGCTCAGTCCCAATCCGAGTAGGCTTGGAGACCTCAGCCCCGGGACCCGCATGCCTGGGTTCCTCTGCCAGTTCTTTCATGCATGAGGCCCGTCCAGACGTGTGGAGAGTGGTCCCAGCTTGGCCATGGCTGGCTCCGGAGGTCCTCAGCTGCTAGGCTCTGCTCGGGGTGGGGGGAAGAGAGAAACTCAACCCTCCCCCCTCCAAGGGGCCCCGGTGAGGACAGCCAGGCACGGGGGCAGGAGTCTCTGCGCTGTTTCCGGGAGCTGGGTTTTATAGTCTCTGTGTCTTGGCCGTTGATGGGATCAACCTGGCGCTGGCGGCAACTGGTGGGTGTGATGCCTACCTACTGGAAGATGGGGGGTCTGGTTGGAGAAGGCCCAGTCCCAATCCGAGTAGGCTTGGAGACCTCAGCCCCGGGACCCGCATGCCTGGGTTCCTCTGCCAGTTCTTTCATGCATGAGGCCCATCCGGACGTGTGGAGAGTGGTCCCAGCATGGCCGTGGCTGGCTCCAGAGGTCCTCAGCTGCTGGGGCTCTGCTCAGGGCGGGGGGGAGAGAAACTCAACCCTCCCCCCTCCAAGGGGCCCCAGTGAGGACAGCCAGGCGCGGGGTCAGGAGAGTTTGGGACATGGCAGGATAATTAGCAGGAGAGTAACATGATAGTGTTATGACTTACATTTTAACATGATTGCTTTGGCTGTGTTTGTAGAATAGCGTGGTGGAGTGGTGGTTAGGCATGTGAATAAGTCGTTGCCATAATACAGGCTTTGGACAGACTAGGTATAATAGAGATGCTAATTGGTTGATAGGGAGAACAGCCAAGGGAAATGCCATCTTTGCATGGCTCTATATAGAAATTGGCGGGGTGTATTTATGGGTAGGAATTGATTTTTACTAAAAACTTTCTTGCCCCAATTGATGATTATATTTTTTCTTATTAAATTTGTTCGTACTGGTACGATAGCACAGTGGGTAGGGCGTTTGCCTTGCCCGCAGCTGACCCGGGTTCAATTCCTCCATCCCTCTCCGAGAGCCCAGCAATCTACTGAGAGTATCCACCCACATGGCAAAGCCTGGCAAGCTACCTGTGACGTATTCAATATGCCAAAAACAGTAACAAGTCTCACAATGGAGACGTTACTGGTGCCTGCTCGAGCAAATCGATGAACAACGGGAGGAAAGTGCTACAGTGCTATTAAATTTGTTGACATGGCCAATTTTATTTTTTGTGCTATATGAAATTTCTTGTTACTAAGAGGAAGATATCTTGGCTGCTTTTCCCCATCCTCTTCATCATCTTTATTCTTTCATTTTTTTGTAAGATACAATATTTGAAACCATGTTTTCCTACTACTTACTGATATCTTTGAAATGTATGACCTGTATGTCTCCTGCCAAACAGATGTCTATGAGCAGGTATCGGTACCTCATTAACATTTGAAGCATTGAGTCTAGAGACAGATAAGATTGGATTCCAGACAACTAATTTCCCTGTGATGTTTCCTTTCAGGTATCCTCACCTGAGTCCCAAGAACATGGATTCCTTTATTGTGGGCTGTAACCTCTTTGCTAAGTTTTCTGCATACATTAAGAATACACAGAAGGAGGCAAATAAGAGTAAGATAACATTTTTAAATCTCTGGATTTTTTGTTTTGTTTTGGGGTCACACCTGGTGGTGCTCAGGGTTTACTCATGGTTCTGAGCACAGAGATCACTCTTAGTGGGCTCAGGGACCATGCGGGGTACTGGAGATTGAACCTGGGCCAGCTGTGTGCAAGGAAAGTGCCTTATCCACTGTACTATTTCTCATGCCCATTAAGTCTGCTTTTCTCTATCACCTGTTTATTCTCACATTCTCAGTCAACTAAAATGGGATGTTTGAGAATACTCTCCCTCTTACCCACTGTTATGAAATTTCCTTCAAAGAACTTTTATTGGATGTAAAATTTACCCTGTGTACCTTTAAGATTTCTTAAGCCAAAACACCTGCCCTGTCCCACAAACATTCCTGAATAAATTTAGTACCCTGTCTCTGATTCCACTTTCAGATTCTTCTGTTGAGTGATAACATATTGTTTTTCATTATTTCTTCAACTCTCCTAATGCACCTCTTAGAGAAAATTTCACTAACCATTTCATTAACCATCAAACTCTTATTAGAGGATAGTTGAGTAGTCCAGCTATTTGGATTACAAAGAGCCAGTATAAGCAAATAAATAGGTAAGTCTAAATGTGGAAAATATATTGATCATAAATATAATACTTTTATAAGTAAAACTATAACTTTATTACCTCAGATTTCGAAAAGTCTCTACTCAGAGAATTTAAACGTCTGGATGACTATTTAAACACCCCACTTCTGGATGAAATTGATCCATACAGCCCTGAGGAACTCAGAGTTTCCAGAAGATTGTTCTTGGATGGAGATAAACTGACATTAGCTGACTGCAGCTTATTGCCCAAACTGAACATCATTAAAGTAAGTCTTTAGAGACCAGGCTCAGTGGTTTGGGAGGGAATTGAGATTTTGTCAGTATAAATCACAGTTACCTATTGATGACTTTGTCATCATTGTTATATATACAGCATATCTCCATCTTCATTTTCTTCTCAGTGGAAAAATCATAATGACATTCCCTGGGAAGTCTAAAACTTCTTGATTATTTCTTCCTAAATCAGGAGATGTCTTCTATTATGAAATAAGGGTATCATCCATTTCACATAATTGTTGAGAAATTACATTAAGATTGGTAAAATTCTGGGGGACAGAGTGATAGTACAGTGGATAGGGCATTTGCCTTGCACACGGCCAACCCAGGTTCAATCCCCAGCATCCCATATGGTCCCCTGAGCACCACCAGAGGTGATTCCTGAGTGCAGACCCAGGAGTAACTGCTGAGTATCTCCAGGTGTGACCCAAAAGGAAAATAAAAACAACTAATATGGGTAAAATTCCTAAACAGGAGCCAGAGGGATAGTACAGCAGATAGGGCTGATCCAGCTTTGATCCCTGGTACCCCATTTGGTCCGCTGAGCCCCTCCAGGATTGATCCCTGAGTGAGAGACAGGAGTAAACATTGAGCACTGCTGGGTGTGACCCCAAAACAAAAAAATCCTAAAACAGTGTCTATGTCACAATAAGAAGTAAATAATGAAGGGTGCTAGTATGATGATGGTTTAACAAACGTTTACTAAACATAATTTATATTTTCTCAGGTTATATGCCAAACACAGTATGTATACAAAATTAGGACATTGTAGGGATCCTAATTGAACTCTTAAGTTAGTGGGGGAAATTCAAGCTATTTTGCCTATACTCTTTCTTGTAAAGACAGTTCACAAATATAAACACAATTGGTAGTTTATAGCTACCAATTCATAGGCAAAAAATTAAATCTGAGATTTCTCAAGTTTATGTTGTAATAATTCTAAAGTAAGATGTTTTCAATGATCTTGACTGTGAAAATATATCTCTAGGGACCAGATCAATATTCAGAGGATGGGGTGTTTGCCTTGCAAACAGCCAACCTGAGTTCGATCTCTGTCACTCCATATGGTCCCACAACCCAGCTAAGAGTGTTTTCTGAGCACAGAGTCAAGAATAAGTCCTGAGCACCATTGGTATAACCTAAAAGCAAAACAGAAAATAAAAAAATAAAGGTAAAGGTAAGGTAAAGGCCCTCCCGTTGATCGTCGATTTGCTCGAGCGGGCCCAGTAACGTCTCCATTGGAGACTTTGTTGTTACTGTGTCTGGCATATCGAATACTCTCGGTAGCTTGCCGGGCTCTCCGAGAGGGGCGGAGGAATCGAACTCGGGTCGGCCATGTTGGCCGCTTGTAAGGCGAACGCCCTACCCGCTGTGCTAATAAAAGCAAAATAAAATGTCTCTAAATAGTTTATATAAGACTTATACCTTTCATTACCACCATTTACCCTCTCCCCACCCCCACTGTTTTTCAAAAATCCTAGGTTGCTGCTAAGAAATATCGTAACTTTGAAATTCCAGCAGAGTTCTCAGGAGTCTGGCGCTATCTCCACAATGCCTATGCCCGTGAAGAATTTACCCACACATGTCCCGAAGACAAAGAAATTGAAAATACCTATGCAACTGTGGCTAAACAAAAGAGTTAGGATAGTTCTTTCATTAAAAAAAGAAAAGTCTTTCTAAACAGATGTCATTTGCTAAAACAGCAGAAAATTTATTGGATATAAGAATATGTAAAATAGTTTTCTCTAGCCACCTTTCTTATGAAAAATAATGCTATATTTTCTGTACTTTTTCCACTGTGTATTTGAAAATTTTTCATATTTTCACTTCATTTTCTTTATTTTCATGACATAACCATTGCAATCTTAAATGATATGGAGAGCATCAGCATCTTTGGCTATTTGATCAAATTAGTAAATTGCATCATGCTCAATTTAATCACTTCACTTAATCACTTAACTTCCCGTTAGTCGTCGATTTGCTCGAGCGGGCGCCAGTAACGTCTCCATTTGTCCCTGTCGCGTGCTAGTGTAGCCCAATGGCATCTGTTCGCTCCGGGAACATGAAGGGCCTCAAACCGATCGTTCATGATCTTGACGAAGAAGTCTGACCATCTGGAAGGTGGGCGGCCACGCGGTCTTTTGACATCCCGTGGAATCCAGTCGGTAACAGCTCTAGTCCAGCGGTCATGCTCAACAGATATGGAAATTTACAAATGTCATAAGTGTAACCACAATCACAAACTGTTTCTTAAAATATTTCCATCTAAATCATTAAAAATTTACATATTTTTCAGTTTGTCATGTGGATGTTTATTTCTGAAATGGATAATGAAGTCATAGATTGAACATATCATATAGCAAATCCTAAAATAAATGACTAAGAAAAAGTCAGTTTTAGGGGCCAGAGAGATAGTACAGCGGGTGAGGCCATTTCCTTCCATGAGAACACCCAGGTTTGATCCCCAGTACTGCAGGTGGTCCCCCAAGAACCACCAAGATTGATCCCCGAGAACAGCTATGTGTGTCCCAAAAATCAAGAATAAAAAACAAAGACAAAGAAAATGACAACTCTAGGAAAAAATAAAGATGAGCTGGTCACAGAATGGTATTTAACATCTAGATATATTATTGCCTCATAGTCAAAGATGATAATGAGACTATGATCTGTATGACTAGATTATATTGCTGTTGTTAATAAGCAAGCAGTCATTAGATTAAAAGTTATAATAGAGGGGCTGGAGAGATAGAACAGCAGGTAGGGTGTTTGTTTTCTTTGCATGTGGTTAACCCAGGTTCAATCCCCAACATGCCATATGGTGCCCTGAGTCCACCAAGAGTGATCCCCAAGCACAGAGGCAGGAGTAAATCCTGAGCACTGCCAGGGATGGTCCTCCAAAAACAACAAAATCTAATAGAGGGAAAGGGATATGGGTACAATGGTGACAGATGTGTTGTTGCAATTATGTCCATATGAAACCATTATAGTATTATAGATCAAAAATATATAATAGAAATAAAATATAAAAATGTGACAGTCTCAAAGTAAATCATGTCTTTTATTCAATGGAAGTAATTAGGAAACTTAGAAATCTGAGTGATCAAAAGATTTTGTTGCTACCATGTGAGAATAAGGAACACTATTCTTAGAGAACAATAAAAATTTTCTACAGAATTAAAAATGTTCTATTTCTATATATGCTCAGATACACATGCTAAAATACAATCAAACTACTCAAATAACAAAATTTTAAAAGGCTGAAATTCATAATGGAGGGGTATAGTAGTAGCAAGAGTAGCATGTTTAAAGGTTTATAAAATTCTAACTCTTTAGCGTTCCAAGCTGCTCTCTTCCTCCTGCGCAGCTCAGGTGCCAGGTCATTTGTCATGTTGACCTCTCGACCTAGGTACACATAGCTGTTGCATTCAGAGATGGTCGTTCCATTGAGAGCGAATGGGGCGTCAGGAACGAGGCTGTTTCTCATAAACATTGTCTTCGTAAGATTCAGCTGTAGTCCTACCTTTCCACACTCATGGTCAAAGTCGGCCAGCATTTGTGCTGCTTGGCTGATTTTTTTTTTAATAAAGAGCGATAGCACAGCAGGTAGGGCGTCTGCCTTGCACACAGCCAACGTGGCCAACCCGAGTTCGATTCCTCTGCCCCTCTCGGAGAGCCCGGCAAGCTACCGAGAGTATTCGATATGCCAGACACAGTAACAACAAAGTCTCCAATGGAGACGTTACTGGGCCCGCTCGAGCTAATCGATGATCAACGGGAGGGCCTTTACTTTTTTTTTTTAATAAAATAAAATAAAACTTAACTATAGACCTCTATCTCTGATGAATACAGAAACAAAGATCCTTAACAAAATATTATCAAACTGACTCTAACAATACACTAAAAATATCATACCATGGGGGCTGGAGCGGTAGCACAGCAGGTAGGGCGTTTGCCTTGCATGCAGCTGATCCGAGTTCGATTTCTCCGCCCCTCTCAGAGAGTCCGACAAGCTACCAAGAGTATCTAGGCCGCAAGGCAAAGCCTGGCAAGCTACCTGTGATGTATTTGATATGCCAAAAACAGTAACAAGAAGTCTCAAAATTTGTTGTGAGACATTACTGGTGCCCGCTCAAGCAAATCGATGAACAACGGGAGGACACTGCTACAGTGCTACCATGACCAAGTGGATTTATCCCAGGGATGCAAGGACTGTTTAATATATGCAAGTCAATCAATGCAATATACCACATCAATAAAAGGCCCTCCCGTTGATCATCGATTTGCTCGAGCGGGCCCAGTAACGTCTCCATTGGTATTGGAATTCCTTGCCATAGCAATTAGTCCATAAAAAGATATGAGTATTTAGACTGGAAAAGAAATCAAACTATCGCTCTTGGCAGATGACGGTCACGGTCACGGTCCTCCCGTTGTTCATCAACTTGCTCGAGCGGGCCCAGTAATGTCTACATCCTGAGACTTGTTACCGTCTTTGGCATATCGAATACGTCACGGGTAGCTTGCCAGGCTCTGCCGTGCAGGCGAGATACTCTCAGTAGCTTGCCGGGCTCTCCAAGAGGGGTGGAGGAATCGAACTCAGGTCGGCCATGTTGGCTGCTTGTAAGGCAAACGCCCTACCGCTGTGCTATCGCTCCAGCCCAAACATACTAAATTTAGAAAAACACCAAAGACTCAATCAAAATACTCTTAGAAACAAAAACAAACATGTACAGTAATGTGACAGGGTACAAAATTACAATACAAAAATCCATGGCAGCCTCCAGTGCCACTGGCAGGCTCTCTCAGGTGTGAGCCCACCGGCTGGTGCCCCACTCCCACACCTGCGCCACAGCCCACCACCCAAACCTGAATTCCTCCCAGCATCCTAGAGCAGCAGCCTGCCCCCAGCGCCGCCCCTCCAGGGCCGCCGGCTTGCTCTCTCAGCACTCCCCAGGCTCCCTAAACCAGGTGTGCGGACCTCCCCAGCCAGTGACCCATTCCCACAGTGCCCCAATGTGGAACCAGGATGGCAACACCTCCCAGCATCCCTCAGGACCTACATCGCTGCATGGGCGTGGCCTCCACAGCAGGGGCGTGGCCTCTGCCACAGGGGGCATGGCCTCCATGGCAGGGGGCGTGGCCTCCAGGGACAGTCATAGTTATTTTCCCCTTTCCCAGCACTCTAGACTCACATCTCTATCTCCATTCCCTAATTCTGTGGAAAACATCCTGACTATCTCAAACACAATAGGCCAATAGCCTACTAGCCTATTCCAATTTCACCAAAATACCAAACACAAGAAGCTGTACAAGCCTAATATAAAAGAACACATCCTATGAAGCTTCACTAGAGGCATCACATGAGCCACATAGGAACACCTGAAAGGAAGGACGTATTCTAGAAGGAGAAAAAGGCGACCATCAACCTAGCTCATCTAGAATCTTTTCTCACAGCAAGAGAGGAATACTGATAGTGAACTGGAAGGTCCCACCTCCATACTAGCACAAAAACACGAATAGCGCAAATCTCCACTATGGAGGAGAGGATGAAGAAAAGAATGCGGAAGACTCAACAGGGGCTAACCACAAATACAATCTCTCCAATAAAGAATTTAGAGGTAAAATGTTGAAGATGTTCAATGAACTCAAAGGAACAGTGGAACAGGCATCCAGTAAATTAAAGGAGAACATGAAAGAAACAGTGGAATGGACAGCAAGAAAATACTGGAAGAAATGAGAGCAGAAATAAGAAAGCTAAAAACAGAAGTGTCACAAATAAAGGATTCAGCAGATGAAATAAAAAACTCATTGGGTGCCCTCAACAGTAGAATGACTACAGCCGAAGACAGAATCAGTGAGCTTGAAGATGAGCTGCAGAAAGCTTAGAGGCATAAAAAATGGCAAAAGACCTCCAAATAGCTCTAGGGCAAATCAGAGACCTAGGGGATGAATCCAAGAGGAACAACATAAGAATCATCGAAGTGGGGCTGGAGAGATAGCACAGCAGGTAGGGCGTTTGCCTTGCATGAGGCCAATCCAGGTTCAATTCCCAGCATTTCATATGGTCCCCTGTTCACCGCTTGGACTAATTCCTGACTGCAGAGCCAGGAGTAACACCTGAGCATTGCCAGGTGTGACCCAAAAAGCAAAAAAAAAAAGTCAATGGTCTAAATGTACCAATTAAGAGACACAGAGTAGCAATATGGATTCAGAAACTGAACTTATCATTCTGCTGCCTACAAGAAACACATCTGAACAGTCAGAGCAAACACAGATTCAGAGTCAAAGGATGATAAACAATCCTGCAAGCAAACAACTCCCTCAAAAAAGCCGGGGTGGCCATACTAGTATCTGACAACATAGATTTCAGGTAAAAAAAAATTAGAAGGGAGAGCAAAGACCACTTCTTAATAATCAAGGGATATGTATAGGAAGAAATCACACTCCTAAACATATACAAACCCAATAAGGGACCAGCTAAATACTTAAAAAAAACAATTGCTTATAGATTCTAAGTAGGACATTGGTAGCAACACAATAGTAGCTGGAGACTGGAACACTGCCTTATCACCTATGGATAGACCAACAAGATTAAAACTCAGCAAGGAAACACTGGCTTTGAAGGAAGAAATAGAAGAGTGAGGGCTAATAGATCTATACAGGGCTTTACATAACCCCCCAAAAATACACATTCTTTTCCAGTGTACAAAAAAAAACATTTTCCAAAGTAGACCACGTGCTAGGTCATAAAACATACCTCAACAGAATGAGGAAGATAGAAATTGAATCAACTATCTTTTCAAGCCATGATGCACCGAAGATAGAATTTAATAACACAGAGACGCAGAGAACCAAATCAAACACCTGGAAATGAAACAACTCAATGTTGAACAATGAATGGGTTATGGAGGAAATCAAGGAAGAAATAAAAAGATACCTGGAAACAAATGAGAATGAAGACATGAGCTACTAGAACCTGTGGGATGCAGCTAAAGCCACACTAAGGGGAAAATTTGTAGCTCTGCAAGCGTTTCTCAAGAAGGAAGAAAGGGCCCCATAGCTTGACTTCATAGCTGAAGATCTTAGAAAAGGATAAACAAAAGGATCCAAACCAGGCAGAAGGAAAGAAATAATAAAACTTAGAGCAGAAATTAACAACATGGAAGCCCAAAAAAACAATCTGAGAGATCAATGAAAACAAGAGCTGGTTCTTTGAGAAAATAAAGATTGATAAACCACTAGCAAGACTCACAAAGAGAGAGAGAACCCTAATAAACCAAATCAGAAATGAAAAGGGCCACATCACAACAGAAACTAAAGAAATTCAAAAGATCATCAGAAACTACTTTGAGAGTCTGTATGCCACAATACAAGAGAACCTAGAAGAAATGGATAAATTCCTGGATCCCTATAATCTCCCAAGGCTGAACCAAGAAGACTTGGAACACCTAAATAGACCTATTACTATCATGGAATTGAAACTATAATCAAATGTCTTCCCAAAAACAAAATCCCAGGTCCAGATGGATTCACTAGCAAATTATTCCATTTTTTAAAAAAATTTTAATAGTGAGACATCATGAGCTACAGTTGCAGACTTACACATTTTTTGTGCTTGGGTTTCAATTATACAATGATCAAATACCCATCCCTCCACCAGTGCCCATTTCCCACCACCACGGATCCCAGTATCCCTCCCACCCTCCCTTCCCCCCATCCCACCCTGCCTCTGTGGCAGGGCATTCCCTTTTGTTCTCTCTCTCTTATTGGGTGTTGTGGTTTTCAAAAGAGGCAATGGGTGACAATCATGTTTGGTCTATAGTCTACTTTCAGCATGCTTCTCCCATCCTGGGAGGATCCTCCCA